TAGTAGTAGTAGTAGTTCTAGTAGTAATAACAATAACAATAACAACAATCATCATAACCACAATGATTCTTGGCAGAGGTCCTTCGGATGTAGATTTTCGGGTTGATGCTCATGGATATGCTCGATTGCGATTAGAGTTGAGACTATGGGTTTCGGATATCGAGTTGTGAATGTTCTCCAAATTGTGTTTCAAGCAGGAGTTTATGATTTTTATGAACCCTAAACCCTAAACCCCTAAACCCTAAACCCCTAAACCCTAAACCCTAAACCCTAAACCCTAAACCCTAAACCCCTAAACCCTAAACCCCTAAACCCTAAACCCTCATGAAGTCTCAGAGTCGAACCCCGAGAGTTCATGTAAGGCTTGTCCGGGAAGTCATGCTCTCTCCAAAGAACTAAGCCGTACGACCTCTTAGGTCAGGTCCCCAAAATCGTATGGCGCCCTTGTAAAAAAAAGAACCCAAAAAAGGGACCCTAAACCCTGAACCCTAAACCCTAAACCCCTAAACCCCTAAACCCTAAACCCTAAACCCCTAAACCCTAATTTGCAGAGCGACCCAGATACAAACTCTTCGAGCCTCGGTCCTCACGTCCCTTCTTCCAGCAACTGTCGGCTTTGGGTTTCGAGATTGGGGTTTAGGGGTTTAAAGGGCTTAGGGGTTTAGGAGTTTAGGGGTTTAGGGCTTTAGGGGTTTAGGGGTTTAGGGTTTAGGGGTTCAGGGATTTAGGGGTTTAGGGGTTTCGGGATTAGGGGTTTAGGAGTTTAGGGTTTCGGGGCTAAGGGGGTGTTCTTCGCTTGGTCAGTAGAGCCAAACGATCCGTACGAGGTTGAGACTAGAAGATGCCTGCACAGGAACATGTTCTCGGGTTTCTACACCGTCTAGAACTTCCTAAACCTCAAGTCTTACCCTACTGTAGGAGCCTTAGTACTTCGAATAGGGTAATGGGGCCCATTATACTATAGTTATGATGAGGAACCCCCCAAAATAGCATAGGTAATTCTCTAGGCCCCACTTTAAGCCATCACAGACCCTCACTTCATATCTTGGAAGCTCGTTGCGAAAGGCTCGGGCTAAACGTGGCCAGCTTGAGTTCGGCAACCTGGCGATGTGTCGGAACGGTCTTAGGGGTTTATAGCTTAGGCCTACTCGTAGCACGTTTAGGGTTTAGGGTTTAGGGTTGGGAAGGGGGGTTTATAGATCGAATTTAAGGAAATTGTAGCATGTCTGTTTAGAGCTCTAATGACTCTAGTGGTCAAGGCAAGAACGATGTTCCTAGTCATAACATCAACTAGGAATGTCATGTACCTCCTGGTTCGGGCCTGTTTTGCTTTGGTGACGGTCTCAACATGGATAGTTCTCTAAGTTAAGGTCCCTTTTTAGGTCCCCAATATAGTACGGCACCCTTATAAAAAGGATCCTAAAAGTTATGCTGGCATGTTGTGAGAATTGCGGCATGGATTTTTTGAGAGGATTTATTCAACAGTTTCGGGGTGGCGGTCCCTTTTAAAAAGGGACCCTAGTTTAGAGAACTACCCACATCGAAGCCCGACAAAAAACCACGCCACTTCGGGAACGATGCGGCAAGTTCGGAGACGACTCTGCGCGACCAGCAGGACGGGGGAACATCAGAATTTAGGGTTCAGGGTTCAGGGTTCAGGGACGGGGGGAGAGGTGAGCCCACCCTAAACCCAACTACGCAGACAACCGAATTGCATGATGATATATGCGTCAAGCCCAGCAAATTCGGGCGCGGGTGGTGTTCATGGGTAGCTAAGCCTAAGCAAGTTTTCCCGAAAGCCTTGAGGAACTTCCGAGAGCCCAGTCAGATCCAACATACTATCCAATCTGCATCACACACAGCCTGTGCTTTTCTAGGCATCCGTGAGTTCACGTGGAGGACCAGGTTTTAAAAAACCTCCGGGGTTCTAAAAAGCCCGACACCCGACTCAAGAGGCTTGAAGCTTACACGAACATGTGTGACAAGCGATCTTTCTTCTTGAAGGCTTAGCTTGCTCGTTTGCTTTTCTTCCTCCTCTTCTGCAGGCGTAGAGCTTTCGGTTTGAATCAGGCACCTAAACCCTAAACCCTAGCCACTAAACAACCTCAAAAGTGCTCGGCCTCTACATCTCGGCCGCTGAGCTCAGCGTCTGCCAAGTCAATGATCTCCTGGGTCTCACGGACCATGTTAAGGATTTATAGGGCTTGTATGGTTTATATAGGGCTTCTAGGGCTTTTAGGGCTTATAAGGTTTATGGAGGCTTCTAGGGTTTTACAGGGTCTAGGAAACAAAACCCTATACAAAGCCCTAAAATCGAACCCCAAGGCAGTGCAGAGCCTGAAGCCGAACTCTATGCAACTTTCCTAAACCCTAAACCCTAAACCCTAAACCCTATAAACCCTAAACCCTAAAGGGATTTTGTTGTTTGAGGGTTTTGGGTTTAGGGGTTTAGGTTTTTTGAGCCCCTTTTTCCACCTGCAGCTCCCATCCACAGGGGTTTAGGGGTTTAGGGTTTACTGCTTAAGGTTCAAACTGTCGGGGTCCGCTGGACTGTATGACTTGTCTACTGTAAGGGTCTTAACAATTAGAATAGAGTCTTGGGGGGTATATCATACTATAACTATAACAAGGAACCCCCCAAAATAGTATCGGCAATTATTTAGGACCCTACCTTACAGCAATAGCTATGAAAGCCTGGGACTGAACATCCGGATGGAATGCTCTTCAGCTTTTGGCTTTGGGGGTTCTGGTGGTTTTCGGGTTCAGCTATGAACAGGTGTGGTGCTATGGGGCGGACTAAGGCTGAGGTTACTGGAGACAGACTTAATGAGTTTATTACTTGCATACATCATATATATGCATACTGTATGTATGCATGTATGCATGTATGTACATATATATATATATAGACTTACACATACTCTTCACATATTGACGGGTGTATCAACGAAACTCCCCCCATACTCCTCGGAACCATGGAACCCAGATCCTCCCACCCTCGACCCCTGGCCGTGGACCGAAGTCTCTACATGGGAGATTTCCGAAAATTTCGGGTTCCTTATTCTGGGGTCCTTATAAAAAGGATCCTGCTATTTAGGTTACTGTATTAGGGTCCCTTACTTTCGGAAACCCCCCACATCTAGCGAAAGCCATGCAGCTTCAACCTTCCGTAAACAAGGCCGGGTAACTTCCGGCGACAAGGCGTCGCCCTCTTTCTCTGGATCCTCCGTGAGCGTTTGGGGCGGTAACCAAAAAGCCCCAAAGCATCATCTGTTTGTAAGGGCACTGGGCTTCATGAGTGTTCGACAGCACGACTGACCCAAAGTCTCTTGCATCTCAAACTGACGTAAGCACGACAGACCTTCCTGAGCCCCTGCCTGGGCTGGAACATGGATAAATGCCCCACCCCCCTCCCCACATCACCGTACACGACATCGAGAAGCCCAGAGCATTCAACACATCGAACATGTTGCGTAGACAAGCCAGGCGCCTTTAACCTGACCTTGGCTGCCCAGTACCCTTGCCCAAAAAAGAATAAACTTTTCGTTTAGTAGGGGTTTAATATACCAAACAAGTTTAAAGTTAACCTCTTGGGCTCCTAAGTTAAGTGACTAACTAAAACACGAACAGCTTTACCCTTACAGCGCTTAGACCCCCCCGGACCTCCGCGAAGGGCTCCGCAGCGGATTCAGGGAAGAGCTCTAATCCTCGGAGGCTGCCGGAAGGCACTTAGGAAGGTTGGGGTGACTTTGTGTGGTGTTCTTGTTTGAAGGTCCTTCTTCAGTCTACCAATCCACCGTATGGAAAGCCCACTAGCACCCTTACCATGCATATCGCAATCTCTCAGTAGAACATCCTTCCCATCCAGTTTCCCGACCCTGCTGCATCCATGCTGCAACCCCGCGGTGGGTTTGGGATTGAGGGTTTTTCTGCAAGGTCTTTTGAATAACAGGGCTTTGGTTTCTTGCGGGGTTCAGGCGGTTCAGGGTCTTGAGATTGAAGGTTCGTGACTATTGCAAGGGCTCCGGACTCTAGGGCATAAGTTTGGTTGTAGGACATTAAGCAGAACTGTTCACTTTCAAGGATGGGCCCGCCGCAAATATCGAATCCTAGAGAAAAGCCGGGACCAACACCCAACCCTAAACCCTAAACCCTAAACCCTAAACCCTAAACCCTAAACCCTGAACCCAAAGCCATCCCAAGTCAACCCACCCAACCCGGAACTCCCTTCCCCAAACTTCCAGTCTCCACTCTCAAAACCCTAGCCGTGAGTTGTAAAAACTAAACCCACAAGGTTTAGAGTTTAGGGTTCAGGGTTTAGGGTTTAGGGTTTAGGAACCCTAAATCTTGACCTAAGCCATGCCTTTGCAGATCTTGCTTGAGGCTCCGGGCGCAGCAGCGCCGGAGGTCCTGACGGAATCTCCTCCTGCGGATTTCCAAAAGCTTTATCTTCGGTCTTTTAAGCACCTTGATAATTACCTATACTATTTTGGGGTTCCTGATTATAATTACAGTATAATGGGCCCTGAAACCCTATTCTAATTATTAAGGGTGGCTCCTTGTCAGGGGAGTCGAGTTGTGAAGAGCGTGTAAGATGTTCACCTGTTTCAGAACTTTCCAAGCCCTTTGCGAGCGTTCAAGTGCATTTTGTAAGGACTTGCTGCTGTGGTCCGATCTTGGACAGGATTCTCCTAGCAAATCAAGCTGATTCGCAACCATTCAGCCTTGTTCAGCAAAATTGTTATAAACAGGATTCCCTTTAGCATCCTGGAAACTTACTCAGTGACTTAGTGCAGTGCTGTCGTCTCGCCCCCATGAATCATGCATATTTTCTTCCTCCCCTGACCCTAAACCCTAAGCCCTAAGCCCTAAACCCTAAACCCAAACCCTCATACCTAAAACCCTAAACCCTAAACCTTCATACCTAAATCCCTAAACCCTAAACCTGACGAAGCAGATTTAGCTCTCAAGATGGACATTTTCAGCCCGAAAGCCCCAACACCTCGACCCCAAATCCCCCGCAGAGCAGCGACCCTACGCCCCAGGTCCCTAAACCCTAAACCCCTAAAACCCCTAAAACCCCTAGAACCCCTAAAACCCCTAAAACCCCTGCAAACCCCTACAAACCCCCACAAACCCCTACAAACCCCTACAAACCCCTACAAACCTGTACAAACCTGTACAAACCCCTACAAACCCCTAAAACCCCTAAAACCCCTACAAACCCCACAAACCCCTAAAACCCTAAACCCTAAAACCCCTAAACCCTAAAACCCATACAAACCCCACAACAAGTCAGCCCCTCCCCATTCGCGAAGAGCACCGGCCTCCGTCTTCGGAAGCTGCAAGAAGATGGGCACGCGCGGGTGGGCCTCTGACGAGAGGCCGGGCTTCTTGGGGTTTAGGGGTTTAGGGGTTTAGGGTTTAGGGGTTTAGGGTTTAGGGTTTGGGGTTTAGGGTTTGGGGTTTAGGGTTTAGGGTTTAGGGTCTGGGGTTTAGGGGTCTAGGGTTTAGGGTTTGGGCATCAGAAAGGGGCAAGGTTTGATGAAGGCTCTTTGGGGAAGTATTAGGGTTTTCAGGTTTTGTTGGATTTCGGGGGTCATTTTGGGGTGGATGTCTAGGGTTTCAGAGATGAAGGGGTTTCGGGCTGGTTGGGGTTGACGCCTGTAGGGCCGAAGGTTTTTACTTTGTTGGGCTGGGTGCGACTGAAGCGCGATCTTGGGCTTCGGAACGTGGCGTTTCAGGGTTTGGGATCGGCTGTCTATGACTCGCTGGTTTGCAGGGCTTTAGACTTCTGCACCCCAAACTTCCAGAACTGCCAACGCCCTCACCCTAAACCCTAAACCCTAAACCGTCAGGACGGCCTCAAAGGACAGCGGCGCCATAGCCTCCAGCCGTCGGAAGCAGCGACGTCCCGTAAGCACAGGCCTCGGAAGAAAGAGTCGAAAGGTGCTGCCCTCAGCCTCAGCCGTCCTACTGTTGATGATATAAATCCTGCATTACCTGCAGGACCCTAAAACTATGGGAATTATGGTATATGGGTAATGCAGGATTTATATCATCAACCGTAGTTTAGGGGGTTTGGGGTTTAGGATGAACACCTAGGTCCCTAAGCGACAAGCTCAAGCCAGCCTTACACTCGCAGCCTTGCTACTTTTTCTCGAGTTAGCGGCCCCAAAACACCGGGACTGTAGGGTGTAGATGGATGGAGAATTGAGAGGTATCGGTGAGTCTTTGGGCATAGGCTTGGGCGCTTGGGTTTAGGGCCGGTTCGGGTTGCCTGTCTCAAACCCCAACCGCAAAGCAACACCCATAAACTCTGAATCTCTTCGGCTCTACTCAGAAGGGGCAGAGAGAAAGTCAACTCGTGTGACCGCCCGGCGAAGGATCAAGCAAAGCATTCCGGGATGGCTAGGATGCTGGCCCCAGCACGCGGTGCGTGGAGTCCAACGCAGGCTGCGCGGTCAGGGTCAGCGCTAACCTTCGGGTTGTCGGCTACGGCTTTTGGGTTTCCAAGGTCTGGAGGCTTTGAGGCTTTTGTGGGGTTGAAGAGATTAAGACTTTGAGTTTTAGGATCAAATTTCGGAAGTAGAATTTCGGGTTGCTGAGCTTCAATGTTGTATGTTTTAGATATTTTGGGTTCAGGGCTTGTGAAGTTTCAGGAGTTCGGGGCTTTAGAGTTTGGAAGAAAGGGTGTTAAGTTTCAAGGCTGTCAGGATTTGGAGTTCAGGTGTGGGGCTTCAAGTTGCAGTCTAAGCTTGAACCCATGGGCCCCTAGTATGGGCCCTTAACCCTGGAACCCTTATACACCAACACTATACCCTATATGTACCCTTAAGGGTCCCTAAACAGGCATGAGGGTCCATATTAGGGGCCCATACTCCTAACCTTAGTTGCAGGGTGAGTTTAGGGTTTAGCGATTTAAGCCTAGCACCTTAAACCCTACACCCTAAACGCTATCTTACAGCCTTGGGGCATCTACCATCGGATCCTTCCAGGAGGCTGGGTTTCAGTGTTTATACCAAAAGTAGGGTTTACTGTTTAACGGGTTAGAGTTTAGGGTCTAGGTTTTCCAGGTTTGAAGCTTTAGGACTTGAAAGGGGCTGGAATTAAAGGTGTGCGGGCTTTGAGTTTCAGGGGCTTTTGACCAGCTCAGGTTTCGGTGTTAGAGCGTAAGGTACAGTTTTGGGTTTGGGGGGGCTTTGGGTTTCAAGGCTTTTAGGTTGTAGGATTTTTCCAGTGCCTGGCTTCGATATGAAGCCTTTGGTGTTTCATAAACTCCAGGGTCTTGGGGGGGCCTTGAGACTTTAAGGCTCGTTGCCTTAAGTGTCAGGCTCTTAAAGTTGCGGAGTTTAGGGATTGGCGGCACGAAGTTTCAGTGTTTCAGGTCTGTGGAGTCTAGATAGAGCTCAAAGCGCTTAGATTTTAGGGATGTGTCGGATCTGAGCAAACATGACCATGTACCATGGTACTGTGTCATAATGTACCCAAAACCCTAAACTCCTAAACCCGACAAGCAGGCTCTCGAGCTTGAGCTCTGCCTTTAGGGCTTTAGGGTGTTAGGGTTTAGGGTTTAGGGGTTTAGGGGTTTAGGGTTTAGGGTGTTAGGGTTTAGGGTTTTACGGTTCAGGGGTTTAGGGGTTTAGGGTTTAGAGTTTAGGGCTTACGGCTTTAGGGTGTTAGGGTTTAGGGTTTTACGGTTTAGGGGTTTAACTGCCTTCAAAGCTTTGGCCTGTCGAGCTTGACAAGACTCAGCTACCCAAGCCTTCTTGTTCGTAGAATCCCTATGTATTACCTATAGTCTCCATTGTAGTTCCTTTTTGGGGTTGCCTGATTAGGATCCCTAATATAAAATTGGTTAAACCGAAAAAAAGGAACTACAATGGAGACTATAGGTAGGGTTTAACTTTAGCCTTGGAGTGCTCATTATACTCGATAACCCTAAACCCTAAACCCTAAACCCTGAACCCTAAACCCTAAACCCTAAACCAACCCTAAACCCTAAACCCTAAACCCTCTGAGTGCGAAGCCCTCCGCCGCTCCGGGGCGCTGTCAGAAGCCCTGCCTCAGCGTCCAAAGTCGCAGGAATCGGTTCTATGAGGCCTGAGTGTTTTAGAAGGGCTTGTGGGGTTTGAAGGTTCTGTCAGGGCTTTGCGTGGGTTCGGCGAGGCAGTTTGGGACTATGGCGGTTTAGGTATAAATTTAAATGTTAAGGATTCAGGATTTAAGGTTTGGGCTTTGAGTAGGGACTGGGGTTTAGGGTTTAGGGTTGAGGTAGTTTTGGAGCACACAAGAACATGGCCGGACAGACATCTATGCCACATGATGTAGCATACCTTGTTGGAAGATTTGATTCTACATATTTCGGAAATGACGTTGGCGAGGCTATCCTAAGTTGTGAAAGGGGAAGAGCAGTTACTGCTGCTAGCTGTTTGCAGTTCCATTCCTTTTTACAGGGTTCTGCTACTGTTCGTCATGTTTGGTTCACATTCCTGCAGAAGATGCGCAGGCACCAACTAACGCAATCGCGATTTCCAGCAAAACAGGGAAGTCGGCAGGGAGACTCGCAACCAGCAATAATACAGCACAGGAAATAAGGAGCCAGCAGGCTAGGGGGCATAATCGGCCATCCGACCCAAGCAACCTTGCTACATAAAAAATACGACATCCTGCTATACAAGACCGCAAAATATATCAAATAAGCAGGGTCCGCTAAACACGTTGACTACAAAGACCCCCGAATCCTAAACTTGACATCTGGTGAGCCAGGCCGTCAAGCCCCCAAAACCCTAAGATCCGAAATCGCAAACTCAGCCCAAAGGCAACGCACCCAAAAACTTGCGGCTCGGTGCTGAATTCATCCCGTCAAGTGGGGGGCTTCTGAAAATACGGGACCCTACTATAGTATCCTAAATAGTAGGATCCTTATTATAAGGACCCCAGAATAAGGTACCCCCCCCCTAATTTCGGAAACTCCCAAGTGGGAGAGGTGAATCTGTAGGGTTCGGGGTGTAGGCCAAGGCCCGGATTTGGCAACGTTCGCACGTCTGGGCTTAAGGTTCGTTCGTGGGGCTCAGCCTCCAGATGGAGGAATTTCAGCCCTCACAAAGCAGCTTGGATGTTTGGAGAAAACGTTGTGTGAAGTTCGGAACCATGTTTCAGCAGAGCTGCGTGCGATTCAGGCAGTTGCAACATTGTTGTTACGCATCATGTGACAAACCGCCACCCGTAGACATCCAGCGGTCTTGGCGATGTTAGGTATCTAGGGCATCGGGTTCAGGGTGCTGCGCAAGGTCCAATGGCCCGCGGCCCACGAGTGCCTCATGCAAGATGATGGGCCCGAAACCCTAAACCCTGATCGAAAACCCGGACCGCTGGACCCTTAATCCCTAAACCGAGGGGCACAGGAGTGAAGCCCGGCCGAAAGGAATCCGTTCGCAGCTGCGGGTGTCTCCTGCAAGCAATGCTTCTTTCGGCTCAGATTTATGGAGGGGGGGCTTCAGAAAAGCCGAAGATGAAACCGAAACCTATGCAAAGCCCTGAGAACTTGCCACGAACAAACAACGAAGCTGCCTCTGGCGCCGCGACGGGCAGCAGCCCTGCAGCCATCTCGGGAGGGGCACCTGCCGGGTTGTTTCTATGTCATGGCGTTTCTACTTCCTGATGATATCATCATCACCACTACAACGACTACAGCTGCTGCTCCTCCTGCTGCTGCTGCTCCCTACTCCAACTACCACCACCGCGACGACGACGACGAC